AGGGAAAGATGAAAATCTTTGCCAAGATTGGGAAGGCTGATGCTTAGAGTTCTACTTTCCTAGGGGCAGGCACTATGCAATCACCCTGTATAATGTCTTGTCACCTACCTGGGGCACAGTCACAGCACAGCTACAAGGGTCCCACTGCTCCTCCCTCCTTAGTCCAGCAGCTTCCTCACCTTTTCTCTTCTTCCTCTTAAAACCTTCCTGCCTCTCTTTCTCCTTCGAGGATACCTCCCAACATCTTTCGGGCTTTTCAAATGGCAGGAAAAAGCATGGATTTCAGCTTACTTCTGCTTTCTGCGTGGCAAAAATTATGGATCAAGCACAAAACGATCTGACTTTGGGGAGTTATTCATATTACAATAAATTATCCTTCCAAAAAGGAATGGATTCAAAGCCTGTCTCTGCTAGTTACTAGTTCTGTGACTTTGGACAAGTAAACTCAAAGCCCCTGGTTCCTCGCCTATAAAAAAGAATGATAATAAAATTCTTCGGGATTGTTTGGAGAATTTAATTAAGAGGAAAAATGTTAAGTGCAAGGCACCGTGGCTGGGACATACTAGAAGTACATAAATTAGAAGCATATAAATGTTAACTTTCTCGTTTCCTGTGTTTGCACTTCCAACAGATAAAGCTTCATCTGTACCAATAGAACCCATTATTGCTGCATGTATTGTGGTCTTTCTGACCTTGTTATTTGGACTGATTGCCAGAAGAAAAAGAATAATGAAGGTATCTAAGTATTCTAAGCTAAAAAGTCATCTAAATAAAAGCAGAGAACTGGCTATATAAGTGACTATAGAATTAGGAACCATACTTGAACGATCTGGTCTCTCTACCATGAGATCTAAAATAGAAGTTGCTTAAGGGAATAAAATTGTACATCTATTACGAGTACAGCTTTACGAAGAATAGAGTAGAAGAATAGAAGTGCATGTGGACAAGACCTGAATGAAAATAGCTGTGGTGTCAGAAGTAGGTGCTGATTTTTCTTCCTTTTAAATTTCTCTTTATTGTTTCTATGGTTCCTTTGGTACAATAAATAAATAAATATAGAGGCACATCTGCTCTGGATTCAGAGATCTGTGTGAAAAAGATGGCACTTACTGCTCACCTCTTGAGTACAGCCACATGCCCTGGCTGTGGTGGGCTGGAGTTTGAATTGTTGAATGCTTAACCTTGTTGGTTAGCATGATGCAGAGGACCTGCATGCATAGGTTAATGCTATGCACTTGACTCCACCAGTTAATCCAGTGCCAAAGGCAGGCAAATGTGGCAGAAAGCCTCTAAGGAAAGGCCAGTGTGGAATTACCTTTTCTTAGGTTAAATAAAAATGATTTATGTGGTCAAAGAAATAAGACCTCGACCAGTGCAGAGGTGGCTGTATTCCCAGCCACCTCTGTATTGGTATGTATTTTTCTACATAGACGATTAACAGACATTTGGGTTTCCGGTCCCTTGAGCCACCCTGATGCTTTCAAAATGTTTATTCGTGGGCCTTAGCAAAACAGGCAAATTCATTGCCCTTGTCATGTTTGCTTTTAGCTCTGCATGAAGGATAAAGATCTTCAAAGCAGAACAGCTCTGTAAGTACTCTGGGCTGGGGTCAACGATTTTCCATAAGCAGATGGGTAGCAGTCAGTGGTGTGCATCATAAAGCCCATCCTGGGCAAACTCCTCCTGAGATGGAAGGTGCTAGAAGGTGAAGTGGTTCAGAGGAGAATGGACGGTGGAGGAGAATCTGCCTCCACTTTAGAGGAAGACAGGTGAGGCTAGGTTGGAAGGTTGCTTAGAACCGACAACACCTTTGGTCTTGAGCCTACTCTTTCTTTAAGCAATTTCAGGCTAATTCTTGTGCAACTGCCTTTTATTGCCACACAATGTAAGTGTCTGAGAGAGCTTACCCTAGGGGAAGCCACTGCTGCATTCTCCTTCAAAACCAGGTCAGAAGCCACATTCCTCATTCTAAATACCGCCTTCTCTTTGGAGCTTCCTTTAGACTGTTGGCTCCAGCATACCTGAAGTGGGCAGTGGCTAAAAAGAACAGAGGCATTCTTTCCAAGAGTGTGAATTTTGTTTTGATTTTTTTTCTTAGTGTTACGATCACCTTTATAATTAATTTCTTGATTCATTTCAGATGAAAAAGCCAAGATGACATCTAATACAGCAAGAGTTTTGCATCAGGACCTCCTTGATTTATGTAGTCCCGTCTGTATTTATTGCTATTACTAAGCTCATTCCTGTCAAACTGTCAGAGGTTATGAAGAAGTGGTTCATTAAGCACTTAGAAGTAGTTATTATGACTAATTTAATATACTTGCAAGAACACTTTCAGGAAGAAAGCTGTAAAGATTGAAAGATAAGATTTTTAAAGTCTTCTCCTTGAAGGATATGTTAATTAATTGAAATTTGTCCTGAAAAGATTGGTAACCATTTACATTTAGTGTGTATTCTTCTAGGTAGGAGATTAACAGACATTTGGGTCTCACAAATCAGTACACTACCAAAAAAAACTGGGGGATGGGGGCAACATAGAGGGATCAATTTCTAAAGTTGCCAAGGAAACACATAAGTAATATCAATTATATCTACCTTCACTGTCATTTCAAAAAAGAAATGTTCTAGGACTAAAAAAGGAAGGATATAATCTCAGAATATAAAGTATTCCTTTAAATGGAAAAAATTCAGTATTATAAAAAACAACATATGTCCTTATTTTTCTCATCTTATCGTGGTTGACAGTCACAAACTTTGTGAGTTTTGTGTGGTGATGAAGATGAAAACGGCAGGGGACAGGGGATAGCATGTTTGTTTCCTAGTATCCTTTGTTCTTTTTGCATAGCCATTTGCATAGATCCAGCAATATTATGAATCAGCCTGTACTCTTCTCATATACCTTAATTTAAAACTGCAGCTCTCTTATTATTTATCGCTGACTTACCCCACTTCCATTCTTTCTTCATTTTTTTCCCTGTAAGAGTCTCTGCTTCAGTTTCCCACACAGCTGGGGTGGGTTATAGGGAGAGGCAGTCTTGGCCAGAAGCACCCTTGATTGTCTCTGCTGTGCTCTTACTCTATCTTAGAAAAAAATTTTTTTCGTCTAATGTTGCAGGAGCTAAATGTGCAACAGTGAAAGAGAAAGAGAGAGAGCTGCTTGCTGTCAGACAGGTGGTTAAAATCCCTTTATTGCCTTAGAAGCAAAGAGAAGAAATGAGCAGAATGTATTAAATCTTAACAGTCTTTTGTTTCTAAGAAGAACAGACACATCCTCCTGTTAGGCTCCTCTTTGCTTCCTTGGAAACGTCAGCACGAATTGGAGAGAGAGACCATTAAAAACTGTGGTTCACAGATTTCTCTGTCTTCTTGGAGGCCCCAGTAGGTTTTGTGGGGAAGCCTTCAGATCATGTCCCTCATTCAGGATTTCTCAAATTAGAATTTGGAAGCCCTGTGAAAATGCTGTAAGGATAAGGTAGGAGGATTGTGAAAATCTGAAAGGTTAGACAATTAAGTAGAACCCTGGAAACAAGAAATTAAAAAACGGTGGGCTGGGATAGTTTAAAGTGGAAGAGGAAATGGAAAAACTTAACATATTTAATTGGACTTGGAATCAGAAGATCTGAGTTCCAGTCTTGGCTGTGTTACCTTGGGCAAGTGCTTTTCCCTCTCTTGGGCCTTTGGAGAATCAGGAGGTTGGATTAAGAAGAGGATTAAGATTCATTTTCATTTTAGCTTGAAAATTCTGTGATCCTAAAAAGATTCCCACATAGTTTAGTTAAATGTCTAAAGGGGTTGGCAAGAAAGACTGAAAATGTAATACCTTTGCTCCGCCTAGCAGAGTTATGAATCAGCTTTGTTCTAGGACATATAAATAACCTTGAGAATTACAGGTCATCAGGAAAGAGTTTCTTCACCCTTGTTAAATACAATGACCTTGTACCTTAGCACAGAGAAGGAACCTTAACTAGTTTTAACAGAGCACAGCAATATTATAAATAGTCATTGCCTCTCATTTTGCCTTACAGTTTTGAAACAGAGTCTGTACTAAAACTATGTCTATTATTTAAAATTAGAAGTTAGCCAGAGCCTGTCTTAGAAAGATGTGAAATTCCAGGATTCAAAAGAAACCCCATATGTAAATCAACTATACTTCAATTAAAAAATAATAAAGTTAAAAAAATAAAGAAACCCCATAACCTTTCCCCAACGTTTTCTCTACCTACTGTGAGGTACGTGGAATTCCAACGTTCCCTCATCTGGTTTTGACCCTTTGGACTACAAATACCAGTGGAGAAGTGACAGAAAAATCCAGTTGCTCCCTTCTCAACCTTTTTATCAATAAGGACAGCTTTCATAATTATGATTTTTCTCCTTCTTGGGCCCCATAGTTTGAAAGAACTGGTCTATCAAACAAATTTTATTTATTAAATAAGAGTCATCTGTTTTCCCAATTTAAAAAACATTTATCAGTGATACCTACTTGTCAGTCTAAGCTTCTTTTATTATGACAATACAATTACCCACTTGATGTAATTCCATTTAAAAGAAAATAAATCTTGTACTATAGTTAACCTGTGCAGCTTTTTAGAGGTTAACAATATAATCATTGCAATCAGGCTTTTTGAATCATTGAAAATAGCTTACAACTATTACCAAATATTTCACCAACTTTACGCCTGTCATCACCATGATCATGACTACTTTCCTGAACCTATTAGTCAGGGGTCATAAAGTCAAATTCTTACAGGGGTCAAGCAGATCAATGAGTGAAGCAGGCTAGATGTACAACAATAGAGAGTGGTGGGGACTGTGGCAAATAGCACATCTATGTCTAAAAGGGGGCTAATAGTTACCACTGGGGACAGGTCTTCTGATTCTGTAAGAGAAGTCAGAAATCTGGATTTTTATGTGTAGTTCTCCTAATTTAAAAAAACTTTAAAAAAATCTTGTATATCTAGGAGTAGAAGAATCTTCTCACCCCAATATGTGTCATTCTCTGTTAGGTAAGTTAAAACCTGGTGTTGACTTGGGCTTTCATTGTTTCATGGAGATTTTTGTGAAACAGCTCTTGTAATTTTCACTCATAGTCTACTATTCCCCAAAGCTCAAGCATGATCACGATGAACCAAATCAGAGGACAGTTAGTTCTGCAGAAATACCTCAGAGATATTGCAGATACATTGCAATAAAGCAAACATCTCAAAAAAGTGGGTAACAAATATTTTTGGTTTCCCGGTGCATATAAAAGTTAGGTTTACACTTCACTGTAGTCTATTAAATGTGCAATAGCATTATGTCTAAAAACGATGTACACACCTTAATTTAAATATACTTTATTGCTGGGACTTCCCTGGCAGTCCAGTGGTTATGACTCGGGGCTGCAAATGCAGGGGGTGTGCGTTCGATCCCTGGTCGGGGGACATAAGATTCCCACATGCTGCGGGGTGCAGCAGAGAAAAAAAACCAAAACTTTATTGCTGAAAAATGCTAACCATCATCTGAGGCTTCAGTGAGTTGTATGTAATCTTTTTCCTGGTGAAGGGTCCTGCCTCAATGTTCTTGGCTGCTGACTGATCAGGCTGGTTGCTGCTGAAAGGTTGGGGCGGCTGTAGCCATTTCTTAAAATAAGGCAGTAATGAACAATGAAGTGTGCCACATCAATTGATTCTTTCTTTCACGAGTGACTTCTCTGTAGCAGGCAATGCTGTTTGATAGCATTTTACCTGCAGTGGAACTTCTTTCAAAATTGTAGTCAATCCTCTCAAACTCTGCCACTGCTTTATCAACTAAGCTTATGTAATGTTCTAAATCCTTTCTTGTCATTTCAACAATCTTCATAGCATCTTCACCAGGAGTAGATTCCATCTCAAGAAACCATTTTCTTTCTTTTTTTTTTTTTAATTTTATTTATTTATTTATTTATTTATTTATGGCTGTGTTGGCTCTTCGTTACTGTGCGAGGGCTTTCTCTAGTTGCGGCAAGCGGGGGCCACTCTTCATCGCGGTGCGCCGACTTCTCACTATCGCGGCCTCTCTTGTTGCGGAGCACAGGCTCCAGACGCGCAGGCTCAGTAATTGTGGCTCACGGGGCTTAGTTGCTCCGCGGCATGTGGGATCCTCCCAGACCAGGGCTCGAACCCGTGTCCCCTGCATTGGCAGGCGGATTCCCAACCACTGCGCCACCAGGGAAGCCCTCAAGAAACCATTTTCTTTGCTCATCCATAAGGAGCAACTCCTCACCCATGAAAGTTTTATCATGAGATTGCAGCAATTCATCACATCTTCAGGCTCCACTTCTAATTCTAGTTGTCTTCCTATTTCCACCACATCTGCAGTTACTTTGTCCACTGAAGTCTTGATTCCCTCAGTCATCCATGAGGGCTGGAATCAACTTCTTCCAAATTCCCGTTAATGTTGATATTTTGACCTCTTCCCATGAATCATGAATGTTCTTAGTGGCATCTAGAATGGTGACTACTTTCCAGAAGGTTTTCAATTGACTTTGCCCAGATGCATCAGAGGAATTACTATCAATGGCAGCTATAGCCTTATGAAATGTATTCCTTAAATAATAAGATTTGAAAGTTGAAATTACTCCTTGATCCATGGGCTGCAGAGTAGATGTTGTGTTAGCAGGCATGAAAACAGCATTAATCTCATTGTATATCTCCATTAGAGCGCTTGGTGACCAGGTGCATTGTCAATGAGCATTGTCAATATTTTGAAAGGAATCTTTTTTTCTGAGCCATAGATCTCAACAGTGGGCTTCGAATATTCAGTAAACTATGTTGTAAACAGATGTGCTGTCAGCCAGGCTTTGTTGTTCCATTTATAGAGCACAGATTTTCAACAGGTACCAAAAAACTGGAAAGCATTTCAGATAAGATGTTAATAGCGCAAAGATAGATACATGCCTCAGTGAGACAGATTGACCCTTATACTAGCTAAATAATGAGAGCAATACTCTGTAGGACTGTTATTTTCTGCAGTAAAGTTTATCTGTTTCTCAGTTTTATGTGTATAATACTCTCCTGGTGCTATAGCTTTGACTGGCAAATTTTGAAATGTCGGCCCCAGTAATGATTGTGCTAGTTCATAACCTTTATTAGACTATGAGTATAATCCCCAAAAGTGTTAGAAATATTTCCAAGCAGTTTCTGAGCTTCTGTTTTTTTGTTTTGTTTTGTTTTTTGTTTTTTGCGGTACGCAGGCCTCTCACTGTTGTGGTCTCTCCCTTTGTGGAGCACAGGCTCCGGA